CCTGTTTATTTTCCACATCAAGTTTGGACTCTACTAACAACCAGAAAACAACAGTTGTTGTTTTTGCGTCACACTACTGTTAGGAATTATCTCAGGCAGAGCTTATGCTTTTATATTTTACATGGTGATGCCTACAGTGGCCTTCCCTTGTCTAACTGCGCTAACCAATAACCACCAATATAAGGGGCAAGAGAAATGGGGGACACCCTTGCCGTGTGCTTCTCACTCGCTAGAATTCCCCAGTTGAGTAAAATGCCATCTCCACAACTGAGACGTGTATTTCAGCACACTGAAGAGGTGTCCATTAATTCCTATCTCATGGGGTGTTTTTTGTTTGTTTTAATAAGAAAATGGGTGTAAGATCCCTTTCAGTACCTGTGAAGAGAAGCAAAAGCTAGGGCCGGGGAGATGGCTCAGTAGCATAAGTGCTTGTCTGACAAGTGCAAGGCCCTGAGTTCAATCCCTGGTTTTGAAAAAAAAAAAAAAAAAAAAAAAAAAAAAAAAAAAAAAAAAAGGGTGCTGACTGTTGGCATTAGCGAGGCCTAGTGTGGCTCCCTGCAGTCCAGAGACACAAAACCTTTTTCTCCTTGTATCTACTAAGACAGTGACATTAGTGGACTCCCCATATAATATCTTATTTCTGTCATGTAGTATTTAACTCGGATCCTTGATATTCTAATGGACCTTTTATACTGATATTCCTACATGAACTGGGTTTATAACTTGCTTTTTCATCTTTATCCGGTTTAGGTATTCTACTCATAGAAGGTTTCCCTTCATTTCACACAGTTTGGAGTAGCAGAAGCTCAAAGCACCTCATCTGCACATATCAGGATCAGAGCCATGTGACAATGTTTGGCGAAAATTCGGTCGCAGGCCTCACATAACACCAAGTGATCAAAGGGGCTTCTCTGGCCACGCAGAAAGGGCAGACCCACAAGTCCTTCTGCCTGTGTGGGCAGCTCACTGCTGGCATCTACCTCTGACCAGCCCAACGGGAGCCAGAGTCCGTGGAACGCCTCTCCCCCAGGACCTGACTGCCACGCCCCTCCCTGGCTATCTGAGGCTCCCACAGGCACTTATTCATTTCCAGCAGCGAAAAGCACCGGGTGTGCCTCCCACTGTGTCTTCTGGATTCTCGCCCAGGTCACAATGGCTTCAGTCTCAACAACTCACGTCACATGGTTTCACAATAACCTGCTGCTCAGCTGTCCTCGCCACTCCATTGCGTAAGACCAGAACGGCAAATGCCACAGCAACTGTAAAAACTGTTGCCCCTGACAGTCAGGACGGCCTGGCCTGCAGGAGGATGGGCAGACTGTGACAAAAGCCCTTGGCACCAGTGCCTCTGAGACCAGCACAAACCTCACTCATTTACTGCTTAAAAATCTTGACTATTTAATAGGTGTCTCAAACGTGGTCAAAACAAAGTCCCTGACTCTCTCTTCATTCTTATTTTTCATCAGAGCATGTTTGTAGTACAGAATGCTTACACTCCCTGTGGGGAGTTGGTGGACACCATTTTCATTCCTTTCTCTCCCCTTCCCTGCCCTCCCTCTTTTCTCCATCTGCTTCTCTTTTGCAAAAGATCGATCTCCCTGTGTTCCATTATCTATGTTTCATTTCATTCTTAATTTAGATTTTTTGACTTCTCATATAAGAGAAAACACATAATGCTGAAGCCTGTGGGTCAGCTTTATTCTACTTAATGTTATGGCCTCAAGGGGCACCCGCCTTCCTACAGACGGCTCAAGTCAGTTCTTTCTGGCAGGTTAGTACTCCTGCGGAAATCCCACACAGCATCCATCCACTCATCCGTTAGGAACATACAGGCTGCTTCCAGGCTCTACCCGCTACGCACTGTGCGGCAATAAACACGGGTGTGCTTGGATTGCTGTACTACAGCAATGTCCTTAACTCTTCTGGGAAGACACCTTCCAGGGGAAAGGCTGAGTCATGTGGAATCTCTGACTTTAGTTTTTTGAAGAATCTCCTAATGATTTCCATAGCGGTTATACCTGTTTACATTCCCATCAGCAGTGTGGAAGGATCCCTCTCCCCCTCGGGCCTAACGAGCGTTGGTTACTGTTCGATTTCTTGACAGAAACCAAAAGTGGGAACCTCAGATGCCAGGGAGGGGCGTGGGCAGTGGGTCCTGGGAGAGGGGCATTCCACGGGGTATGGCTTCCATCGGGCTGGTCAGAAGGAGAAGCCAGCAGACACTCTTTGTAGGGTCAGATGGAATCTCTAGGGCTTTCATTTGCATTTCTCTATGGCAGCAATGCTGAACCCTCTTTCATTTATTTTGTGGCCCTTGTGCCTCAGAGAGACATGCGTCCATTTCACCTGCCCATCCCACAGCCCTTGGTTTTCCTGTCAAGCTCTTTCTCTCCCACAAAACTTACTACTTCCTCCCCTGTACAGACTTGGAACGGGTTCCCGGACGGCTGCAGAAACCCTCTTGCCCTCTGCCTGATTCCACGCCTGGGTCAGCAGCTCAGAGAAGGTCCTGACTCTCACCCATCAGCCCAACGTGGTGCCTTCATCGAAGCTGCAGGGGCGCCTGTGTCATTTCACTTCTTGCTGGAAGCCAGCGCCATTAGACAAGGATTGTTTTTAAAGCCTGGTCTACAGAATCTCTAAATGTGGGTGATCCTTCCTTCTGGTACCAGGAAAATCCGAGAGATATTCACCACTGCCCTGCCCCAGGCTTCGATGCTAAGTGGGGGTGAGTAAGTAGATGAATTTTAATTTTAACTTTTAGCATTCAGTTAGAATAAAAGGTACCTGATTGAATCTCCTGGCATTTTCCAAAATCTTCCGTTCCTCCTTCAGACAGTTAAAGATGATCATAGACATCTGTACTGGGTCTTCTTGGAAACTATCCTAAGTACAAGAATTTAGTGGTTAGAACAAAACCAAGAGGTTAGGATAGTAAGATAGTTGTGTGGTTAGAATGAAGCTAATTAAGTTCAGAATGTTTATGCCACTGCATATTATAAATAAGTATTAATTTGTTTATATTCCCCGAGAAACCTTATTTCTCATTTATTAAATTCCATATAAGCTACTTTACTTTCTTTTTTTTTTTTTAATTTTTTGTTTATTTATTTATGTGTGTGTGTGTGAGTGTGTCCAGCTCAGCCCACCAGGGGGCAGGGTGGGCTGGCATGTGGTGCTGGGGGATTGAACCGCGGTCCCTGTGCTTTAGCTAAGCTTGTTCTAAGTAGGTGCCCTAGACCACTGAGCCATCTCACCAGCCCCAAGCTACTTTACTTTCATCAAAACATTTCTTTTTCAAATTGGGACAAAAATGGTTTTAACTTATCAATTCAGTGCAGGTCCTAAAGTACTTCTTGATTAGAAACAAAGTTTTTATATGTGTACATAGAAACATTTTCCTCCAAACTGGGAATTTAATCAGGTAGATACTCTGGCACTGAGCCACGTTCCCAGGCCTTCCTAAGGGATTTTCATTTTGGTATTTTTCTGTACTGATCTTCCTCTATCAGGGTCTCCGTGACAACAAAAATTCTGTAGGAATTATATGCAGAAGGACTCAAGGAATGCATCTTTGACCTTTGTGTTGAATGAGGCACAAGTTATCCTCTCTCGTCTTTCTGCCCCCACTGTCACCGCCTGGATGCCCAGTACCGGCACGTGTGGCTCTGTGTCACAGGCCCACCCAGGCAAAGTCTAAGCGACAGAAAATTTCTGTAAAGTTCATCTCATTTCCCCACTCACCGCTTCCAATTATCTAAAGTGAACGGTTTGGTTGTGGGGTACGAAAACAAGAAAATGATAACTTTTGCCTCTGATAAAGCACAAGTCGGGCCCCTGACAAAGAATCAATCAATATGGATATTAGGCTGACCGCAGGCTGACGTGGCGAAGAACTCCTAAAACTCTGCAGCTTATCCTCACGTCTGGGTCACACTTTGGTTTTTCTCTTCCACCATCTTTTTTTTTTTTTTTTTTTTAGAAAGGGTCTTTGTACTCTAGATTGGGCTACGGCTCACTCTGTAGCCCAGGCTGGCCTAGAACTTACAGCAATCTTCCTGCCTCAGCCTCCCGAGGGCTGGGATTACAGGTGTGTGCCACCCCACCTGGCCTCACCTCTACTCTTCGGGGGGAGGCTATGCCACCAGAAGTGAGGCAAGGCAGAGTCCGGTCTAAGCCACCACTCAAGGTGCTTTTCAATAATATTTAGCAAAGCCAGGTTTTACTTTTCTCCCACTGTTACTGACACCTAACTGTGATGCACCTAACCCTCAACCTTCCTGTGTGCTCCTATGACGGATGGGCACTGCGTGGAACTCACACATACACGCTGGGGGTCACGTCCAGCTATCTGCCCCGAGCTGGAAGCCGCGCAGGGCGAGCACAGGAAGGACCACGGCAATGCCATCACGAACCCCAGGCCGTACCTGCAGGTTGCGCTTGCTTTTCCTTATGTTGTGCTGCAATAAAAAATTATTCTCCAAGGAAAAGCGGCTGTACTGATCATCCAGCTGGGACAGGAGGTCGTGGAAGCGGATGGTGGCGAAGGACACATCTGTGGCCGCATGTTCCCTGGGAGACAAGAGAGGCAGCAGCTCATCTAGGTGCTGCTTAAACAAGCATTGTTCATTTACTGAAATGACTAAAAAGTAATTTTTCAAGCATTTCTTAGGTCTTTTTTTTTAAATTAATTGATTTATTAATATGTATTTGGTACAGGGTCTCACTACACAGCTTGAACTTGTAGTGACCCTCCTGATTTCAGCCTCCCCAGCACTGGGATTACAGGTGTGTGCCACCACTCCGCCACTCCGGGACTCAGTGGCAGCTCAGTCCCGTTCCCCCCTCCCCCCAAGGGGCACTGTGGCACAGTGCGGCATGTGGTGTCTGGGATCGAACTCTGGTCCTTGCACCTGCCTAAGCAGGCACTCAGTCTGCTAAGCTATCTTGATGGCCCTCTTTTTCTTTTTATAATGTTAACGCCTTTAGCCAGTTTACATATCATTTTTAGTATATAAAACTGGCTTGGAAAATTGTACAATGCCTAAAAGACTGTGTAAGAAACTATTCTCAGTGATTGTCAGTTAATGAGAAAAAGGTCGACAGGGCCATCCCTGTAGGACGGATAGTTTCAGAATGTTTAGGACTTTCTGAAGCAAACGATACATTTTAAATAGAGTGCGTACCAATTTCAAGAGAAAGTCCTTTACTTTTATTACTTTATATTTTTAATCAATGCTTTAATCACAATTTGCTTTTGACTACTTCATAACCTGAAGGTTACATTGGCAGATAACCGGTGTCAGTTTTACCCAACTTCTCCAAAGCATTTGCAAATATGTGTTACACTTAGATTTAATAGAACTATGCAAGAGTGGCCCATGACCAATGAATTTAGCTTCGTAAAGATACACGCCCATTTTTAAATCAAACTTCTGGGTGACCCCAACATCTTCTCACACCAGTACTTTTCACGCCCAGCGGCGCTTTCCTCCCTGTCCGCTGCGTTCTGCTCACCAGTCTTGCTTCTCTAACCACTGGGCCAGGTACTGTCGGATCTCCATGGGGAAACTGTCATCATACAGCTGGTGGACCTGCTCCAGGAATTTGGAGTCGAGCTGCTGGAGCTCGTACCACTGAGACATCCTACGGGAGCAACAGCACACGGTGAGCAAGCCCTGCCCCCGACGCACGCCCCAAGCTCTGCCACGTTCCCACCGGGCTTAAGCCGGGCCAGAACTGGCCTCTGAGAATGCTGCCTGTATCTGAGGTCGGCTTTTTAGCTGAATTTTTGGTCAACAGTCTTTTCCTCTCCAGGAAACACATTTTCAGGTCTTTATTCAAGTGTCCACATATCAGGGCCACCTTGAGCCACCTCCTACACCTGCAGTCATCTTTCACCCTGGAAAATGGGCCCTTTTCTCAGAAGTGTTTTTCTTCATAGTACTTATACCCTCTGATGCTGTGTATGTGTGTGTACATATATGTATAAATGTATTCATACATACATTTATTTTAATCTTGATTATTGCCTGTCTTAGCCTCATGAAGAGAAGTATTTGAGGCATTTGTGTTCATTGCTGAAGCCCCAGAACACTATCAGGCAACATAACTGTCCAATACACATGACTTCAAGATAACATTGTACTTTCATCAAATAAATAAATGGAAAGTGTTATTAAATTTAAGGCAAGTCACAAAAGCTCTCCAAAAACTGCTCTCCTACAAATTACCGCACGGTTATAATTTAATCCCAAATACTTTTAACTGGTATTTCGTATCTTATGATTCACAGGTAAAATTAATTATTTTTGTTCTTCACATTTTAAAAGAGATGTACTTTCTGCATCTATTGTGAGCAATAAATCTGGCACACACACAACTCTTAAATTTTGGTCCCAATCTTTTTTTTTTTATTTATTTATTTATTTATTTATTGTGTGTGTGTGTGTGTGTGTGTGTGTGTGTGGCCAGCTCAGCCCACCAGGGGGCGGGGCTGGCTGGCATGTGGTGCTGGGGGATTGAACCGCAGTCTCTGTGCTTTGCTAAGCTTGTTCTAAGTAGGTGCTTTAGACCACTGAGCCATCTCACCAGCCCTTGGTCCCAATCTTTAAAGATGAAAATAACAACGCTAGACGCAACATGAAAGGATAAAGTAACACTTTTCTCTTTGGATAGCTATTAGTTTGGTTTTATATGGTGGTCCTCAAGATGAAACATTACAAAATCCTGATATAAGAAAGTCCAGGAGGCCGGGATTTAGCTCAGTGGCACAGCGCTTTCCTGACAAGTGTGAGATTCCAAATTCAACTCCCAATACAAAAAAAAGCCTAAAAATCCATTTGGAAAAAAGATGATCACACCCATCCCTTCACTCCGGCTGAGTCAGGGGCAGGGCGAGGTGCCCAGCCGGCAATGCTCAGAGCTGTGCTGCAGGTCTTGCCCCAGCAGGCCCCCGAGGACAGGGTCTGGTCTTCACAGGGGCATGGCTGAGAGGGGATGCACAGCTGCCGTGAGCACACAGGTGAGCAGGAGCAAGTCACATCGACTCCACCTGCACCCATCCAAAGAGCCAGGGGTTGTGTCGACTCTTAGGCTAGTTACTGTCACAACACCAGTGAAGACGGGCTCACGGCCACCGGGCACCTCTGCTACAGCAACTGCATTTTTCACTTCAAATTTATTTTCTCTGAGAGAATGCTCCGGACGCCCACTCTCTCCCTTCTCCTTGTGGTGGGAGGCTGGGTCCCTCCCTAGCAAGGAAACTCAGTAATTTGCTGCACAAGCTAATAATGTACACGGTGCCTGGCACACAGCAGGTGAATCAATATATTCAGGTTCACAGATTCAGAATCAATCCTGCTTTCACGGGAAACCTGGTACCAACCCAGAGAGTGGCACAAATGCCCTCCCTCACCTCCAAATCAGGGTTCACTCCTCCTCCTGCCTCCAACCTCTTCCCTCCTCATCTGGCCTCCAAAGCACAAGGGTTGGTTGGACCATACTCTGGTGCACAACATCTCCAACTGTCCCTTCTGAGGCTGATTTCCACCCCACCCCATCTTCATCCATGGACAAGGCAACCCTGACACCAAACTATTCATTGTTTTGTTTTGGTTTTGGGCTGGGCTCAGCCGGCCCTTAGGGCAGGACTGTGGAGGCCAGATGGTGGCAACTGAACTGCAGTCCCGAGCTTGCCTAAGCGGGCGCTTTAGACCTCTAAGCTATCTCAACAGCCCCTAAACTATGCTTTGTGACCGGATCCAACATTTGTGCTTTTCCCAACTGTCACTAACTCTTGCAAAACAGCCTTTGAACAAACCTCTGCCTCTCTCAATCTTACCAGCAATCAAAGTTAAGGTATAATCGTTTCAGGTCTGAGATGTGCCACATACAATCCTGACTGCCCCTTGCTGCACTCTACCTGTATCAATTTTCCTTGTAAAGCACTATGATGCCCCTAACTCTGGGTAGGGTGTAAGCTCTACCGCCTCCCGGGATTACTTTTCTTTTGAACAGCCACTGAGTCTTGGACAATCCTGCAAACAGTATGTGCTCAACAACATAATAGTTTGTTCGACTGAAATCTTGTGTATTTCAAACAGTCGCACAAGTTCCAGTGAAGCAATCTCTTTAATGAGTTGTACACACTAGCTTGTGCTGGAGACTCATGTTTTATTTCTATTGCATCAAAAACAACTTCCTCTCTAACCTACAGAAACAATATGCAAAGCGCAAACAACTGTACATCTATAAATACACCTACCCAAGAGCTCTTTGGTACAGCTTAGAATTTATGAGACTGGTGCTCTGCCTACTGAGCTACGGAGGCAGGTTAGAATTTACCTTTAAAAGAGCCATTATATGAGTTCTGCAGGCACTAAATCTCAGGCTTATATTCCTGGAGGACGGCAAACTCCACCCCAAACACTGAAACGTAGTAGTGGATGCACCATGACACCATGAAATTAAGTCAAATAAATCACGAGAAACCCAAAGTATAAATAAACTAAAGAGCAAGACACAAAAGATAACAGGAAACTGGGGGATTGACCTTTGGCTAATGGAACAGGACCAAGAGGTGGAAAAGACTAATGGTGTTTGTAAATAGGATGTCATGTCTGCATCTTGTACAGCAATTAACCAGTAGGAAGAATGTATGCAATGTGTTAATTATGGAAATTGTCCTACCAGTTTGGTTTGAAACTGTCTCATTGCTATTTGTTTCTCAATAAAATTATGGAAAGAAAAATTAAAGAGGTGGAAAAGAGAGGGCTGGACGACCCAGGGGATGAGAAAAGGATCAAGGCGCTGTGCGTGTACCAACTCTCCGCGAGGAAGCGCAATCACTGCATACTTAAAACATGTATCAAAATAGAAAATTAAAATAAAAACCCACAGCAACAAAAGATCGCAAACGCGTTCGTCTGCAGACACTCACTGACCTGCCGACAAGCGCAGCGAGGAGCCGGGTTGGTGGAGGCTGCAGCCGCCGGGGCAGGAGTCGGACTCGCCCAGCACCGCCGGGACAGCGGTTAAACTTTCAGCAAGAGGAAGCGGACGGCGCCGCAAGGAGGGGGACGGACACCGCGAGAAGGGCTCCGCGGATCGGCGCGGGTCGTGGGGAAGATCGATCTCCGCGGCGATCGCGAGGCTGGGACTCGGACAGCGGTGGGCGCGGCGGGGAGGAGCACAGCCAGCGGGGATCGCAGACCGGACGCAGGAAAACGAAAGCAGCACCCCAGGAAAAGGCCCCGCCGCTGCCACGCCCCCATCTGGCTTCGCCATCTCGGCCAATCGCTGGGCCCTGCGACCGGCCAATCAGACGCGGCTGTTCCATAAGCGCCGCGCCTCCCTCCGCGAGCAGAGTCGGGGGCGGGGCTCCAGCATCGCCTGCGGGAGAAGGCCAGGAAGTGGTTCTGCGCCTGCTTCTGCCTGCCAAACCGCGAGGAGCGCGGACAGAGGTGGCCCCGGGTCGTTCTGAAGCGGTTCAGCCACCGCCTTTCCGTGTGGCTAAATCCAGACCACGGGCACCTTTTGGTCCTCGCTTTACCTGATCGACCTGAAACCTGGAGCACAGTGGACGTTGCAGGCCAGGAAGGCCTTCGCCGGTCGCCATGACAACACAGCCTCCTTGCTTCCAGGCTGCTTCGCCCTTCTTGTCACAGCTTCTGGATCCTTCTAGACAGACTCCTGAAGATGCACCAGGGCCTGGCCCTGCCCCATGCTGCACGTGGCCTCACGGGGCTATCCCAGGATCTCTGCCAGGTCACTAGCCATGCCCAGCACCAAGCCACGCAGAGATGCAAACTAAAACCACTCTTGAGATTCCTTCCCACCGGGAGAGAATGGTCGTCAGAAATCAGTTAACAGTCGCTGACAAGGCTGAGGGTGGAGGAGGATCCCTTCTGCGTTTCGTGTGGAAATGTGAAGTGGAGAAAACTGAAAGTAGAAGTTCCAGTCCACCCGGCTATCCCCTAGGTATGCTCCCAAAAGAGTTAAAGACATCCTGTCACCGCGATGCACGCAGACCCACGTCTATTAGCGGCACACGACATACTAAATCTTGGAAGCAGCCTGCGTGTCCCAACAGACCAATGCATATGCATACAGATAATGTGCGGCTTAGACACTGTGGCATACTATTCTGTCATATAGGAGGATACACTGGAACCATTTGTAGGAAAAAGGATGCACCTTTAGACCATAATGTGAAATGAAGTAAATCAGACTCACAAGCTTAAGAATCTCATGGATTCTCTTACACGAGAAACCCAAGGTATAAGTAATTCAAAGAGTAAAGTAAAAACAGGCAATAGGCAACAGGAAAATAGATCTTTTGTAAAGGCTAAGGGGAATGGAGAGATGAGGGAGTGAAGGTAGAAGGGAGCGCACAGGGAGGTGCAGTGCGGTGCTTGTGTTCTCAGTCCTCCACAATGAATGCAATCAGCAGGACACTCGTAAAAATTTAAGTACTTAAAATACCAAAGCCACCCTCCTTCTCCTTGGACCTGCCCTTTTGCTGTTCGCAGCACAGGCCCAAATCGTGCAGCGATCCTCTCGTGCCCTTGCCCCCTGCCCCCTGTACCTGAGCCTCCAGCCTCGTAGATTGCTCCCAGTTAGTTTCCCAGTCTCGGTTATGCCCTTCCTCGTCCTCCGCCCCCGTCTTCACTCTCACTGCGATTATCGTGGGTTTCCACCGGGCTGCCCTACTCAGCTCGCAGGCCCCATTCACATTGTTCTTCGTATACCATTTGGAGTGAGTGTTTCCTTCAGGGCCGGACCTGGCGCCCACGGCCTTGTACATGCCCCGCAAGCGCTGCACTCCTGAACTACAGCCCTAGCCCCAGGTGATTTCTTTTGTATTGTACATTTTAAAAAAACATTTTAGAAGATGTTTTTAAGATTGCAAAGTGGTTGTCAATGGCTAACCTGATAATCTTAGCATAGAGAATATTTCCTATTTTTAGTATACGTGCTGCCGAATGGAGACCAGAGAATGTTTCCTAACAGCCTGTGCAGCCCTGGTTGCCCTTCTCTTCTCTCAGCCAGCCCGTGCCACTCTCCTTTGCTTACTTCAGCACTTTGTTCGTTGAGTTTGCCCAATTCTTTGCCCAGCTCGGGGCTTTCTCTTGGAAAGCCCCTGGAGCAGCCTTCCTCTCCCCTTTCTTCTCTGCTGCCTTTCTGGTCTTTCACATCTTGGCTTCAGCCTAGCTTCAATGTCACCTCCCAGGGCCGTATCACCAAGGCTCATCCAACCAGCTGGTTCCTTCAGGTGGATGGGATTTGAGTCCACTCGGATAACGAGGTGACTTTGGGTGGGGAAGGACCTTTGGAAGCTCCCAGGGATAGGACTTCAGTGTGTGTTTTAGAGCTATTTACTCTTCTACTTCTATGCACTCTATTTTCTCATCACCCATGTGCTCGCAAGGAGCCAGTAGGGAGCTGACTTCCGGTCTGGGTCCTCCATAAATGTCCCTACCCTTCCCTCCAGCCTTGCCTGTCTCTGCCAACGACCCGACTGAACTTCTCCATGTCCTGCTCTCTGCTTAATGCTGTTAATGTTAATGCTCTCTTGTTATTGTAATTGCTGAAACATCCAAACCTTATCTGTCTATGACTCTAAGTTATACATTAGGGCTGTACGTTATATCACACTATGAGTGTGACTACTCAATACGCTGACTGCTTTAGTTTAATATATAAAAGCTAGGGGCTGGGGCAGTAGCTCAGTGGTCTGAATGCCTGCCTGGCAAGCACAAAGACCTGGGTTTGAGCCCCGGTACTGCATGCCTTGCTGGCCTTGGAACCCCGGATGTGCCGTGCTGGCCACCGAAACCGGTCATGCTGGTGCATGCCTATAATCCCACTGCTGGGGAGGCTGAGACAGAAAGATCACTAGGAGTCTAAGCTGTATAGCAAGAGCCTGTACCAAATAAATAAAGATTTTTAAAAATTAAATATAAAATCTAGAGATCCAACAACCACAAGATCCAAACTCATGCTAGCTTGTGAAGCTGTATCTTTGTATCAACAATAGCATAGTTGCATAAGGCACATAACTAGAAAAACAGTAGCTCGAGCCATGTGTGGTGAGTTGTGCTATTTTCAAACCTTGTCTGTCCCTTCCTGCACCCTCACGGGTTGGCTAAGGATGGAGCATTCCTGTCTGTGCCCCAGGGCCTTGCTCGGACCCGAGGAAGGGCAGCAGAATTCACATTACACCATTTGACCCGGAACTGTGATCTTTAGGGACTGATTTGCCATCCTGCACTCCCTGCCTGTGCCAGGAAACAGCCTGCCCCCCGACCCTGTGTGGCTGCTGCTTCTCTAGCCTGGGTCCTGGAAGGAGGGGTGCGTGCAACCCCTTGAACCCCACACCTGGCACAGGTGGCTGAAGCTGCTCTGCGGGCCCCTGAGGAGAAGTACGCATTTGTCCTCATGTGTCACTGAGATGCCCCCACTTCCACAGCCGGAAGTCCTTCTCAAATGACTAAAGGAAAACCCTGAGTCACCTTAGCAGGCTAGAAAGCTGTTTGGCTGGAACCAATTTGGTAAAATTCAAAGCACTAAGTACACAGACTTGCTTTGGATTTAAAAAGAAAAAAACAACAAATGACAGAGTCCTCTTGTCACCAGCAACCAGTCAGAATGAAGATGAAATGTATGCAGTTCCACGTCCTATCTGGTGTGTACATGGAGCCAAGGGTGGTCAGGAGCCTGGAAACACATCCTGTCTTGAGGGAGGCATCCACATGATGCTATGTGCAAGGACTCTGGGAAGCGATGCCAACGCTTCCACCTGGAGGTTCACTTTCGCAGCAAAGGGGTGATAGACTCCCGTTCTTCATTCAGCCCTTCTGGTACCCAGTTTATTTAGTTGGTCATGACTACGTAGTTGGACAGAGCATGCTGGAAGCTGCTGGAGAGCTTTTTTTTTTTTACTGCTGGAAGCTGCTGGAGAGCTGACCTCCCACTGAGCTACCCCCTCAGCCTCTGCATCTCTTATGGTGAGACAGGGTCTTGCTGAGCTCCTAAAATGCCCAGGCTGGGCTCGAACTTGCAATCCTTCTGCCTCAAATTCCAGGAATTCTGGGGTTGCAGGCATGCCCCACTACACCTGGTGATGCCCAAAGCACTGCAAGCAATTTATAACAAATATTTTTTAAAAAAATATTTACAGTGACTATAAAGACCACAAGCTTACAGGCCCCAGCAAAAGATGCTATCACTTTATGCTCAACATACCAAACCAGGAAGGATCTTCTGCTAGATTATTTACAACAAATATCCACATCATCCCCTTCTCTGATCTCTGTATCTTTTTTCAGAGTGACTCCAGTTCCTTCCAGCAAGTTTCCCTGGCCACCGGACCCGGGCTGGCTTGTAACTGGTTTGGACCAACACTGGGCAGCAGATGTGACACTGTGTCATTTGGAGCTTAGCTTTATGTGTGCCCAGAGCCCTGCCCAGACTCCATGACAACCCTGGCTGGCCCCTTGCCCCACAAGGAGCCACAGGCCACGGCTGGGCAGAGTCACCACCCAAGCCTAGACCTTTGCCATGTGAGAGCACTGGCAGGATCAGACAGGTCCGGCCCTGCTCCCTGACCTGCGCCTCCCCTGGACTCCCAGCTGTGGTAAATGCTTGTCTCACCCCACTGAGTTTGGCAATAGTTTGGTTTTCCCAGCAGCGGGAAGCTCTATATATTAGATCACTGGTATTGACCTTCTGAGAAGAACTAAGTTCGACACAACTGATTGCTGAGACAGAATTCTCCAGCTAGGAACACCTACGCCCTTGCTGCCTCCAGTGCCACCTCCATTTCTCCTGGGACCTCTCATCTCCAAGGGAAGCCTCAGCCTGTGTGTCCTTATCCCATCCTCACCCCAAGCTTCCTTGTGCCGGACTCTTCACAGCCTTGGCATGTTAGAGATCTGACGAACAACCCGAGGTACATGTTGAGCGACTTCCGTCTCTTGCCAGCCAGCATACTGTATTTTAGCTGTGTTTTCCTTATGCCAGTGATGGCGCAGTAACCTGGAACTAATACAGGGATTTCTGAAGGTGCCAGTCTGTGCCCCCTCACCCTCAGGCTTTGCAATTGTGAGCCTTGCTACCACGCCACCTGGAGAACGCAGCTGTGGAAGCCCACTTTGTCCACCTGTAAAACAATGGAATTGAAATAAAGGATTTCTAATTTCCAATTTCCAAATTCCTTTCGTGTAGATTCTAGATTTCGATTTTGGATGGTCCTGT